GAAACCCTGTACAGGGTCGCTATGGGTCGGACCCGACTCAAAAGGCATTTAACAACAACAACATAGGCCAGAAATGAGCCCTGGGTGCGCAGTGGTTAAGTGCTCGCCTGCTAACTGAAAAGTTAGCGATCTGAATCTATCAGCCACTGCACGGGGAGAGATGTGGCGGTCTGCTTTTATTAACCGGCTACCTCGGAAACCCTGGGGGCAGATGTGACTCCATGGAAACAGGTAAAGGCTGGACCCAGAGCTACTGCTGCAGCAGGACAGACCCTCAACTTCTCTAATCCCTCTACACAAGCAGTCAAGCCCCTGGCTGTGCGCCCCCAGTGATGCCCTCCCCCAGAAGCAGCTCCTTCCTCTGCCCAGAGTGTAGCCTCAGGTGAACCAGCGACTGCTCCAAGGCTTGTTAAACAATAGTAACAGGGCTCACTGTCCCATGGAGCAGGAGTGAGAACACAGTAAGCATGTGACAATGCCACCACTGCTGGGATTAATACTGTCACTGGTGTCGCTCCCAGGCTCCGGAAACTTACTGAGGGGCTCCACATTGGGGCTGGGCTCCAGTCTCGAGGCATCCCGGGGGATGCTACAGTCCCAGCCGTCAACCTCCACCTGTTCTCCCTCACCTGTGAAAGAAGAAGGGTGTGGGTCAGACTGGGAATGTGGGGATGAGTGACAGGGATGAGGAGAGACTGAATTCTCACAGCTTAGTGTTATCTATGAGAAGAAGGGGAAACAAAGAGACAGACAGAGGAGGCTAACGAGCTCACGAGGGGTGAGGCCGAGTTACCGCACCTGCTTTCTGGATGAGCTGGGACACAGTGGGCAACACAGGAGGGTCTCTGGTCTGAAGGAAATAGATGACGAGCAAAGTCAAGGCGTAGTTATTGAGAAGGGGGCCGCTCCCTAAGTGAATAATCAGTAATTCCAGTTAGGGGCCAGATGCCCACGCACCGTTTCCACAGCAGTGCTCCTAACATCGGCTCCTGTACCTGCCCCCACTCTCTCCCAGATGTCCTTTATCCTCACACCAACTGAGCCCCAAACCTGTCCTGATTGGTCCTCACCTGACAGCCCCCGACCCTGAGCCCAGCAGCGCAGGGTGTACACTAGGGGCCGGACTCGCCCATCCAGCTCGGAGCAAAGACTCAGGAAGCGGGAGTTATGCAGGGCCAGCCTGATACGAAGGGAAGACAAGGGTGTCAGGGTTCTCAGGGCTGGGACCCGCTGAGCTCTCTCTCACCCCGGCTCTCATGCCAGACTTGTGGAACCAAGGCCAGCTGGAGTCTGGAGACCAGAAGGGGGGTTCCCGAAGGGCTGCTCAAAACAAAGGTGTTGCAAGAAGTGCAAAGGCGAGGAAACGAGTGTGGCAAACAATACATCCTCTACGCCTGCCTCGGACACTCACAAAGTATTACATAGCTGCTTCCAGCCTTCAGTATAGTCAAAGAAACAAAGACAGGAAGAAGAGAAAGGACAAAACTCATTCCCATTTAAACAGTATTTCCCAAACATATTCAACCGTGAGACCATTTTTCACATCCCTTAAAAATTGTATTCCATACAGTGAATAGAGGTAAATTCTGTTAACTTATGGGACATGAAAGGGTTGTAACCATTGTAATGACACGAAGTGTATGATTTGTTGAATGTGGGACTGATGATGTGTAGACTTTCACTCAATTCACAAGAAAAGTTAAAGAATAGGATTCCAAGGAGTACTCTGTAAGTACACTGAAATGAAGAAACGAAGAGAAAAAGACAAGCTTAGTGGCAGTGATTTCCCATAAATCAAAACAAAACAAAGAACACGGACCTGGAAGGCAGACAAAAGGAGATGAGAAGCAGACGGGCCACACTGCAGGGCTCAGCAGGTCCAGGGGCATCCTGAACTAGCACTTCCTCCCTCCATCCCAGAATTCTCAGCGGGCCTTCCCCAACCACCACTAACCCCCTGCAAAGGTACCGGTTACTGAGTGAGACGTCCCCATGGAGACCTGAGGGCCGATGGCAGAACTTGACCACAGGGCATCGGGCAGAAGGGAGAGTCTGGACGCGGTACACCCCAGGCACACAGCGCCGAAGAATGGATCCCACCAGCTCCAGCATGGCTCCCCCTTCAGCTGTCTCTCCTTTCAAGGCCTCTGCTAATTCCAGAGACTTCCCCAGGTCTCCCTCTCCCCTGTCCTGCAGTGGAGACGCTGGAGGCAGGGAATCGGGAGAGGCCAGGGTCTCAGAGGCCAACGCCGAGTCAGGAGTCTGGGGTGCTAGGGAAGAGGAAGGGGTTTCAAAGTCCAGGGCTTCTTGGGGAGAAGCTGGTGGCTGTGAGCTGGGAGAGGAGGCTGAGAGGCAAGCCAGGGCTTGAGAATCCAGAGGTGAAGCAAGGGCTGAGTCCAGCGATGGAGAGTCTGGAGCCTTTGGGGCTGGCTGTGGGCAGAAAAGAGCAAGTGAATGTCTCTCCTGCCGTCCCCCAACCAAGGACATTCCTGTTCACAGAATCACAATAGCTAACATGTACAGCTTGCAAGACATTATGTGTTAGGCCCTATTCTGAGGGCCCACATGTATTTACTCATTCAGTCTTCACCATAGTAAAAAATGAAAGTAACCTTTCAATTCCATAAAGTAAATGGCCTGTTTCCTTCAAAATTATCATTGTCACAAAAGACGAAACAAGTCGAGGAACTGTTCCAGATCAAAGGAGACGAAAGACACAACACAACAGTTCACCCCAGAGACAGCTGACAAAATTATAGCGTGTGGACTGTAGGCTAAAGTCTTGGATCAGTCTCAAACTGTTCTCAATTGGATCACTGCACTGTGCTCAACACCGAGAGCACAACTGAAATACTAGGGGTAATGGGGCTTGGTGGACAACCTACTTTCTAATGGTTTAGAAATCATAAATGTTTTTTTAAAAAAAACCTTTCCTAGTCAGTTTGAAGACAAAGGTATGCCTGACCCAAACCACGGTATCTTCAATCGCCTCATCTGCATGTGAATGCTGGACAGTGAATAAGGAAGACCATAGACAAATTTATGCATTTGAGTTATGGTGTTGCAGGAGAATATGAAAAGTACCATGGACTGCCAGAAGAACAAACCAATCTGTGTTGGAAGAAGTGCAGTCAGAATGTTCCTCAGAAGCCAGGATGGCCAGACTTCGTCTCTCATACTTTGGACATGTTATCAAGAGGGACCAGTCCGTGGAGAAGGACATCATGCTTGGTAAACGGGAGGGTCAATGAAAAAGAGGAAGGTCCCCAATGAGATGGATTGGCACAGTGGCAACAGCAATGGGCTCAAACGTAGCAACGAGTGTGAAATTAGTGCAGGATCGGGCAGTGTTTCATTCTACGGTGCATAAATAAGGATGCTATGAGTCAGTACTGACTCCACGGAACCTAACAACAACATCATCCCCAAAACAGGATGACTGGTGGTACAGACGTTAAGTGCTCTGTGGCTAAAGGAAAGGCCAGTGATTTGAATCCACCAACAGCTCCTGGGAAAAAAATGTAATCTGCTTTGTAAAGATCAACCCAAAACCAGTTACCCATCAACTCCAGCTCACAGCAACCCTCTAAGACAGAGGGTTTCCAAGGCTGTCGATCTTTATGGAAGCAGATTGCCACAACCTTCTCCCAGAGAGCGGCTGGTGATTAGCAACCAGACACTTAAGCACTGCACCACCCACCAGGCTTCTTCCATAAAGATGGCAGCCTGGGAACCCCTGCACGGCAGCTGGGCTCTGTCCCACAGGGACGCTATGAATCAGAACTGACTCGATGGTCCTGGGTTGGGTTGGGTTGGGTTCTAGAGAAGCAGAATCTGTACACTAGAAAATCTGTTGTTGTTACTTGTCTACGACACTTAAAGCCTTCAAGTCAGTTCCGACTCAGAGCAACCCCGTATAGGGTGGGTTCCAGGAGCAGTTAGTGGGTTCGAACCACCAACCTTGAGGTTCAAACCAACTTGCAGTTCAGTGTTAATTTTACAGTGCCATAACAGGACTAGAAACAAGCTATATATATATGTATATATATATGTATTCAAAAATTCGTCTTTTTGTGTATCTTTTTATTATTTGACCAAAATAAGATCATATTATACATGCGAATCTGAAATCTGGCGGCTGTTTTTTCCTGTTACAATGACCATCTATCCCTTGTCAATTCCTCTTCACTCTGTCTACTATCCATCCATTCTCCTGTTCCTCCACCGTCAGCCGTTCAGGCTGGTCCATTGTCTCACTTTACAGATAAGGCCGAAGCCTGGGGAGGTCAGTACTAGCCCACAGTGACATGGCTACCAAGAGGCCATGGCTCTAAACTGACCATTCACACTGACTCTACTCACCTGAGGCTCCTCTACGTCACCCAGATCCAGGAAGAGGTCCAGATCACAGCCATGGACGTCAAAGCTGTTTATGGAAGAGCCAAAAGGACAGACCACACAGCCTGGGTGCGGAGCAGAGAATAAAGGTCAGCAGACATTGGAGTGGGGGGTACGGAGTGGGAGAACACACCCTAACAACCATGAAGTCAAATGGACTGGGAGTGACCCTCGGAGACAGACTAGAACTGCCCCATGGGGTTCCAGGCTGTAGTCTTAATGAAAGCAGACTGCCACAGCTTTCTTCTGGGGAACAGCTGGGGAGTTCAAGCCATCAGCCTTCTGGTGGGCAAGCGAGTACTTAGACCACTGCGCCACCAAAACCAAAACCCTGCTGTCGTCAACTCGATTCCGACTCACAGTCACAGGACAGCAGAACTGCCCCACAGAGCCCAAGGGGCTCCGTCTTAATGGAAGCAAACCATCATACAGGTCTCCTAGGGAGTAGCTGCTGGGTTTGAACTGCTGGCCTTCCGGGTAGCAGTCGGGAGCTTAAGCACTGCACCACCAGGGATCTGGAATTCCATCATGGGTGCTGTGGGAGGGCTCAGGCGGGGACACTTACCAGGGAAGAACTCTGTGAAAACCTCTTGCATGAGGGCTAGCACGAGGTTCCGGAGCTGCCGCTCAGCCTCGGACAGCTCCCTCAGGCCCACGAGCCTGACCATTTGTGCCCCCACGTCCGACGCCTCAGCTAATGCTCTGACCAGCTGCTGACTGTCAGGGGCCGCTCCTTTGGGGGACTTGGAAGCTGGACACTGGAACTCCTTCTGCTCCCGGGGCCGGACCCGCAGGCGACGTCCTTCCAGGCTGTGCTGGGGCTGGGACAAAACGGCCTCCCGGGCAGCCACGTCCCCCATCTCCACAATGGCAAACACGCCCTGGGGAATGACAACACGCAGTGACATGGGGATGAGCCCATGAATCGGGAGTATGTGCTGTTTCCATAAAAACAGAGAAAGGTCAGCAAAGCAGTCCTCTCCCTCAGTGCTCCCCACATGCTTTACTCTCACCCCAATCTGCCACGGGAAGTCCTTTTCGCTATTTCATCATTCCGTATTAATTACTTGTCTACGACACTTAAAGCATATGCAACCAGAGAAACAGGTGAATATGTTCCTCATTTCACTCTCCATGTATTCACAGGTTATACTGAGACCCACCCTGACTCTTCCGGGTTTAACTAGACACTTCTGATGGTTACTAAGAATCTATGTAATGTACACTGTAGCACGCGTGATTATGAACAAACATCCCTAATTTCCGAGGAATTGACAATCTAGGAATATCAGCGATGTGGCCGCCACACTCCTGGAATTTGGTTGAGTTCCATGATACTCACTGAGTCATTGCATTTCTTTAGGATATAGTGTGAGCTGGGGCAGGAAAAATAGGCCTGCCTTGGGGTAGAAGACCATTTCTTTTGAGTCCTGTCCAGTGATAAAACTGGAGTCTCAAGCTGCTTATAAAAAAAGTACCCCTATCACAGACTCCTAAGGAGCTCTGGTAGCGTAGTGGTTATGAATCGGGCTGCGAGCCACAGGGTCAGCAGTTTGAAACTGCCAGCTGTTCCGCGGGAGAAAGATGGGGCTTTCTGCTCCCATAAAGATTTACAGCCTCAGAAACCCCGTACAGGGTCGCTGTAAGTCAGAACCAACTCCACAGCACATGACAACAACAACATCACATACTTCTGGTGTGGCACTGTAGGACCAGCACTGGACTGCTAATCACAAGGTTGGCAGTTCAAACCTACAGGATGCTCCTCAGAAACCCTATACAAGGTCACTATGAGTTAGAAGCAACTCTACAGCACTTGACAACATCAGCAGTCGTCACAGCAGTGTGGTGCTGGAATAGAGACACTGAGATGGAAGGAATGGCATTTAGCGTTCAGAAAGAAACCTCTAAGATATCAACGCATTTCTGACAAGGGTGCCAAGATAATCCAATAGGAAAAGGAGCCTTCACAATACACCAGGCTAAGAAAATGGACATCATCTGGTAGCATAGTGGTTACGAATCGGGCTGCTAACCTCAGATACAGCAGTATGAAACTACCAGCTGTTCCACAGGAGAAAGATAAGGTTTTCCAGTCCCATAAAGATTTAAAGCCTCAGAAACCCTATACAGGGGCACCATGAGTCGGAACTGGCTCCACGGCACATAACCACCACCATGCAAAAGAAGCAGAGCTAGCTCACACCATTAGATAAAATTCAACTCAAAATGGACCAAATATGTAAGTGTATGAACTACAACTACAGCTCTCAGAATCTCAGTGTAGAACTTTGTGACCTGTATTAGACAATCATTTCTTAGACTCAACACTTCAGTCATAAACAACCAAAGAAACAAGGAAATTGAACTTCACAGAAATTAAAAACTTTTTATTTGATACATGCACCAATCTGATGAACCTCGAAAACATGCTAAATGAAAAGAGGCTAAATGTGCAAAGAGGTCACATACTGTATACTCCCATTTGTGTGAAATGTTCATGACAGGCAAACCCACAGAGACACAAAGCTGACCCACAGTTGCCTGGGGCTTGAGGAAGAGCAGAATGGGAAGGAAGTGCTTAATCACATCAAGATGTGATTTGGGGTGATGGCAATGTTTTGGAACTAGACAACGTTGGTGGTTACAAAATGCTGTGAATGTATCAAATGCCACTGACATGTTCATACTTTAAAGTATTGAGAGTTACCTAATGTTGGCAAGAATTCAGTGGCGCCTATTGGCTTCAAATCATCTGGCCTTTACCATCTTCATCTGGCCTTCACCCCTAACAGAGCAGCAAAGAACCAGCGTGAAACCGAGGGAGAAGACAGCCACGTGGCCCTGCTCTGGGCTGTCTTGTGCTTCCGAGGAGCTACAAGCTCACCAGGCTCAAGTTCCAACATCACATTTGGAAGCAAAGCCCCAGCTAAAATTAGATGTCCTTTTGCCTGGCTTGTCTGTATGTACATGTTTCTCTCAACCACCTGAGATTTTTTATTGGGGGGAGGAGTAAGAATGAGAGTTAGGGTTAGGGCTAGGACATGATCTAGGCTAAGCCTAGGATTTCATTTAGTGTTAGGGTTATGCTAGGATTAGGGTTAGGAGTAAGGCTTGCTCTAGTTTTTAGAGTGACAGTCAGGTTTATTTTTTTCTTGAAATCTATGTGATTTCTTCTTCATTTGGAAATTCTGTAACTACATTATTCCCTCTTTATTTTACGGCTGTTGCAACCGTATCTCTGGTTCTCTGTTTTTAGTCTTGTAGATTTGTCTTTAATATTTCCATATCTCAGTTTAATGTGGGTGATAATTGTCACATGTTATTCTCAGGTGGTTCTTTGTAGTAGGTTCTTTGCACAAATAACTGCCTTTAGTATTTTTTTTTGTAAAGGTTGGTCTGGTTTTTGTAGTTTATATGGAAATGACCTAATTTTGCCATCATATTTGATGGACAATTTGCTGGGTGTATAATTATTAATTGGCAATTTTTTTCTTACAGTTTTATATGTGTCATCCCATATATCTTGGCTGCATGGATTCTGCTGAGAAATTACAGTTTATTAGTCTTATTCGTTTTCCTTTGTAGGTAACTTTTCATTTTTCCCCTTAGCTGCTCTCAGGATTCGTCTTTGCTTATGAAACGTTTGATTATAACTTCTTGGTGATTTTCTTTGGCAGTCTATCCTGTTTTGGAGTTCATTTAACTTCTTGAATGGCTACCTTCTCATCTTTCATGATGGTGGTGGTGGTTATATGCTGTGGAGTCGGTTCCAACTCATAGTGACCCTGTGCAGGGTTTCCAGGGCTGTAACTCTTTACAGGAGCAGAAAGCCTCATGTTTCTCCTGCGAACAGCTGGTAGTTTAGGGAAGTTTTATTCCAGCAACTCTTAAACAATTGTCTCTATGGTTTTATATGCTACCGTTCTAGAATTCAATCACACATAAGTTACTCCTCTGGACTGTTGTTGTTACATGCTGTAGAGTTGTTTCCAACTCATAACAACTCTTTATAGGGCTTCCAAGTAGCGGCTGGTGAGTCTGAACTGCCGACCTTGTGGTTCAAACTGACCTTGTGGTCCAGTACTTTATCTCACAGTGCCACACCAGGACTCTATTTCTCTTGATATTATTGTTGTTGATAAGTACCATCAAGTCAGTTCCGACTCACTGCAACCCGGTATAGGATTTCCAAGAACTGGCTGGTGAGCCTGAACCACCAACCGTATGGTTCAGACCGAACTTGCAGACCAGCGCATTAACCTGCAGCGCCACTCCATTCCTCCTGATGGTGTCCCACATAAACCTTAGGCTTTATTCAGATTCTTTTTTCTGATTGTTCCTCTCAAAGATGAGTATTGAGAGATTTGTCTTCAAGCTCACTTCTTTAACCTTCCATTGGTTCAATTCTATTTTGTCCTTTCAATTCTATTTCTGAAATTTTAGTATTAATCTTCTGGCTCGGTAATTGCTATTTTTTTATGGCTTCCAAGTTTCCATTTATTTTGTCAGCTTGTTCTTGTATTAGTTCCCTGACTTCTTCCTCGCTTTCGTCGAACTTTTTCTCAATCACTGAAGGTCAGTAAATAGCATTCCTAATCCAGTAGTTCTGATTCTGATTCTGGTATTATATTGTCTGGCTCTATATTTTGGTCACTTGTTTGAGGCACTCTGTCTTGTTTCTTCACATAAGCAGAAACTGTCTGATTTCTCTGAGACCTTGTAATGTTACTGTGTTTATATTGAATTGATGGTTGTACGTTGGTGTGTTCTCAGACATTCACCACCTGTCTCCTGGCAGATGTGGTAGAGCCTAGAAGGAAGTCTGAACACAGTTCTTGGTTCGCTGTGTAGCATCATTCAGGGCAGGTTCACATACCTCCAGAACCCTAGGCCGAGGCTGGGCAGAAGAGGGTGCCACTAGCTGCTGTGTAGGTGATGGTGGGAGGGGCTACCAGGAGAGCATGAGAACAAGAGAAGACTGCATCCCTCTTGTCTCCCGCCTGCCACCCAGCCCTGTGCCCACAGGCTGCTGTATCAACAGCCACTTGCAAAAGCTCAAGATGGCTGCCTCCCTGCATACCCGCTGACAGCCGCCTGGTTTTCTTCTCGCTCACAACTCCTGTTCAGCTTCCTCTTCAGTCAGCCTCAGTCCACCTCTGTCCTATCTTCTGAAGCTCAGTGTCCAGGATTACCATCTGGATTGACTTTACTTGTCCTCCCATCTGTGTTGCAGGGGGTCTGCTCAGCACATCTGCCTACTCCATCATCTCCTCCCGACCACCAGTTTGTTTCCTGAGTTCTTCTAAAATTTTGTCCATGTTTTCCTTGATTTCATCTGGTTTCTTGATCCGTCTATATGTTGGTTAAAGTTGTCTTATTAGCATTCTTTGAAATTCTTTATCAGGTAGTTCCAATACCATTCCGGGTGTTATATTTTCTGACTCTGTATTTTGGTCACTTTGTTTCTTCATGTAAGCTGAAACTGTTTTCTCGGAGACACTGTGGGGCTGTATTCACATCTGACTGATGATTGGATATTGGCTTATTCTCATGCACTCGCCGCCGCCTGCCTCCTGATGGATGTGGTAGAGACTGGAAATGTGAACAGTTAGTTCCCCAATCACTGTTTGTTAGTATAGTTCAGGGCGCAAAAACAAGGGAAAACTGTACTGTGTGCCACCAACCTCCAGCCACATCCTGTGCCTGCAGACTGCCATATGAACAGCTGCTCAAAATAGCCAAAAATGGATGGTCGAGCTGCTCCAGCCCGCCCAGACGCTGCCATGTGTCTTCTCTCTCACCACTCCTGTTCCACTTCATCTTCCAGTTGGCACTGAAACCACCTCTCTGTCCCATCCCTTGATGCTCCAGGTTCCGG